CAAGGTTACACTCAAGTTGAAGGTCTTGACTTTGGAGAAACACATGCCCCGGTTGCATGATTGGAAGAAATTAGGATCTTGTTAGCCTATGCTTGTGCCCACAACATCAAGTTGTACCAAATGGATGTGAAGAGTGCATTTCTCAATGGATACATCAATGAGCTTGTGTATGTTGAGCAACCTCCCAGTTTTGAAGATGAGAAGAAGCCCAATCATGTTTATAAGTTGAGAAAGGCTTTGTATGGTTTGAAGCAAGCACCAAGAGCATGGTATGAGAGATACGCCCTTGTATGTTCCTTGTAACCTCATCCATTACCAAGGCAAAGAGATATAGGCTCAAGGTTGACCCTTGGTGTAGTCCTATTTTAATCGGGAAGTAATCTATGTTACCATCATTTGTTCGAACACTAGTCACAGCATTGTTGTACATGTCCTTGATGAGGGTAACATACTTTGTTGGGACTTTATGTTTGTCCAAAGCCCACCACATAACATTCCTTGGTATCTTGGCATAAGCCTTCTCTAGGTCAATGAAACCCATGTGTAGGTCCTTCTGCTCCCTAAACTGCTCCATAACTTGTCTTATTAAGAAAATTGCTTCTGTGGTTGACCTTTCGGGCATGAAACCAAATTGGTTCATAGATATTTGTGTCATTCCTCGCAGACGATGCTCAATGACTCTCTCCCATAGCTTCATAGTGTGGCTAATCAACTTAATTCCCTATAATCAGTACAACTTTGGATGTCTTCGTTGTTCTTATAGACTGGTACCAATATGCTTCTTCTCCACTCCTTAGGCATCTTGTTCAATCAATAGATATTGTTGAACAACTTGGTTAGCCATACTATAGCTATATCCCCAAGACATCTCCACACCTTGATTGGAATACCATCGTGGCCCATCTCTTTACCCCTTTCATCCTTTTCAAAGCTTCTCTGACCTCTAATTCTTTAATCCTCCACGCAAAGCGCCTATTGGTGTCATCAAATGAGTCGTCCAACTGAACGGTAGTGTTCTCATTCTCACCATTGAACAATTTATCAAAATACTCTTGCCATCTATGTCTGATCTCATCCTCCTTCACCAAGAGTTGCTCCCTCTCATCCTTAATGCACTTGACTTGGTTGAAGTCCCTCGTCTTCCTATCATGAGCCCTAGCCATCCTATAGATGTCCTTTTCTCCTTCCTTCGTACTCAGACATTGGTAAAGATCCTTGTAAACCCACCCCTTTGCCTCACTCATTGTTTGTTTTGCAGTCTTCTTTGCCATCTTGTACTTCTCTATGTTGTCTGCACACCTGTTATGGTATAAGCACTTATATCATTCCTTCTTTTCCTTAATAGCCTTTTGCACCTCTTCATTCCACCACCAGGTGTCTTTCGGATCGCATCCACTCTCTTTGGTCACTCCAAGCACCTCTAAAGCAACCTTCCGAACGCATGTTGTCATTTTCTCCCACATGTTGTTTGCATCGCCTTCATCCTACCAAGTGCCCTCTTTAATAACTCTTTCCTTGAAGACATTTGATGCCTCCCCTTCCAATTTCCACCACTTTGTTCTTGCAATCTTGGCTTGTTTATCCCTATGAGCTTGCACCAGAAAGCAGAAGTCAGCCACCACCATCTTGTGTTGAGAAACCACACATTCTCTAGGTATCACCTTACAATCCACACATGCTCGTTTATCCCCCCTTCTTGTAAGGACAAAGTCGATCTGACTATAGTATTGGCCGCTACTAAAGGTTACTAAATGGGACTATCTCTTTCTAAAGAAAGTGCTGGCTATCATTAGATCAAAAGCTGTAGCAAAGTCTAAGACTTCCTCTCCCTCTTGGTTCCTACAACTATATCTGAAACCTCCATGTGCCGCCTCAAAACCTGCACTTTTGTACATGCATGGCCATTAACATCCCCTCCTTTAATGATCTTCTCACTACTAGGTAAAACTCTAACCAAACTGTCTTCACAGAAATGCCTCTTAGCACTCTCATCATGGCCTACTTGGGGGGCATACGCATTAATTACGTTTAAGACCATATCACTAATGACAAGTTTAACTAAGATGATCCTATCCCCTTGCCTTCTCACATTAGACATTATTAATACTAAAAAGTAAAGAAACTATCAGAATACTTAACTGATATCTTAACTTTTTTATTGAAAAAATCATTCATCTAGTATTCCTTGAAATGAAATTTCCGATTATATATCTTCATAATTAATATTCTCTAAAGCATCATTTTCAAAGGCTACCGTCCCAACCATGCTCAGGGAAAAAATTAAAGAATGCTTTGCAAACGTTGAGTTAGACATGAAAACCTTGAGTAGTTGACCTAAAGTGTAGAACACTACTTCTGAGTCTAGCCATGAACTGACAGTGATACTAAAGAAAGAGAAAAATATGTGTTTCCAGGAATTGAACCGACCACCTCAAGTTTCTAACTGAAGTATCCATACCATCTCAACAACACAACATTTGTGGCTATGCAACTGATGCTATTCTTTTAACTTAACACTTACGAATATTTTACTGCATATTTGACACTCTAAACGATCTCAAATGTAAAAGTTGCTAACTACAAAGTTGTAGATCTCATCGAGTAATACAATTTTGACGTAGATCTTGTCTCCATCGGAGATTATTTAATAAGTTTGAGAACTTATATTAAATATTTAAATATCTAAACTATCTCATCAAGTAATATTTGGCGTAGATCTTGTCTCCATCAGAGATTGTTTAATAGGTCATGAGAACTTGTATTAAATATTTGGATATCTAAACTATCTCAAATGAAAAAGTGGTCAACTATAAAATTTTAGATCTATTTAGCTCTATAATTTTGATATAACGCTTATCTTCATTGACATAATACGAACAAGTTAATAATTTTTTGGTGCGTACCGGTGGGTTTTCACCGCCGGTTATAGCCACGAATTAGCAGTGATCTATCATTGTCGGTTAGTGCTATCACTGCTGGTTGTAGCCACAAACCGGCAGTGATACACTATCACTGTCAACCGACAGTGATAGTGGTGGCAGTGATATATATTTATGTAGTAGTGGAAATCCTAACTAATTGCATATCAATCATTGTAGCATAGCAGCCCCAAACCAAGCCAACAAAGAAATAAGAGCATGGCTAATAATATAGTCAGTTGTTGTCTATATACACTTGCCATGTCATCTGGAGCTAATGAAATAGCTAGCTTATATAATAGGTTGGCTATTAGGTTTGCTAAGAGGTTGGTTGCATTAAAGATTTAAGTATATAATATTGGCGTGTACATATGATCAACTGTGATCTAAATCTCTATTGCCATTTCAACAAACATCATATGAAAACCATGTGGGACATACCAAATAGATTATTAATAGCATAATACACCATCAGGATATACCAAAATGGATTAACAACATAGAGGTGTTTTACAATGGTTGGAAAAGTACCATGGTACTTTCAGGTACTTTCATTTTTTTCATTTATCTAGCATTTAATTGAGTAAGCTTATTTATAAAATTTAAATTTTATTCTTGAGGGTATATTAGTCTATGAGCTATTGTTGGGAGAGGAAGAAGTGCCAACCCCAAGCCGTGCCGCCATCTAGAGGTTTCTCGTGGCGGAGAGAGGGAGAAGAGTAGGTGCGCTGTAGGCCCATGGCGCAGGGCGCTGCTGGCCCATGTATTGCGAGGCCGAAGATGAGGCTAGGAAGGAGTGGCTCACGACAGCTATCCGGAGGTGGTGAGCGTCGCGGCCAAGAACGATGGCGACGGCGTCCATGCCACCAGCTCCACGGATAGCGCATCGAGGTTGCTCTGCATCTACAGGATGCTTGTGGTAGCGTGCACCGAGCTCAGCGTTCTCGGCTATAGTGTTACAGCCACCGACGACAGTAGCTCCTGACAGAGCGAGTTCTTTGAGAGGTAGGTGTGGCTGTACATGTTCAACAAGCACGGTGGCACCCTCTCCAACCTCGCCGCGATGGCCTTCCACTACTCGCCGAAGCCGGTCTTTGTTGCATAAGCATCCTGTAATCATGTCAAATATGTATCTTGCATGTAGTTGCATTAGCTAGTTGTTTTGGTTTTGTTACAAAACATTTTGTAATTGCATAGAATCATGGGTGGGACGGAGACTACATGTCGCCACGCCGTGACTGCATCTTCAGGGCTGACTCCCGCCATATCGTGCATGCCGTGCATGTCGCACGGGCAACCGAGGAAAATGGGGCACTTTGCAGTTGCACGTTGTGGTGGGGGATGCGGCTCGAGCCCGTGATATAGTCCAAGCAATGAATCAAAGAAGCTACGCTAGTTGCAGTAGAAAACTCTCTCTCTCTCTCACATGTGTGTGTGTGTGTTTGTGTTCATCATTCTCGCCATCGTGTTCACGGTTACCACGCTTTGAGCATCGCGGAGCGCCGGTGGGTTCCTAGCATCGGCGGTGATCGCCGGCCCTAACAATCTGGTATTAGAGCTGGTTAATGTTCTATAGCGGTTCCATTAGCCCACCGAGATCACTTGCATTGAAGAAGTTCAAGCCAAATCCAAGGAGGCAGCCAGAGAAGAAGATGGGCGATGATGCATCATCGAGTGCGCTCCCCGGCGGCGTGAGGGAGAGCTCGTTGAAGTGGCTGATGCTAACACGCACCAACTACTCTAGTGGGCAATGTTGATGTAGGTGAATTATGAAGCGATGGAGATATGGGAGACGATTGATCCAGGCACCAACGTCAAGCGATCTCAAGATCGATAGGCGATGGGGGTGCTCTTGCATTCTGTCCCGAAGGAGATGTGGGCGACGCTAGGGGCCACAAGACCGTCAAGGAGGCGTGGGAGGTGGTGCAGATGATGCGTCTTGGTGCCAATTGCGTGAAGGACGTCAATGCCCAGAAGTTGTTGAAGGAATTCGAGAATATCGGGTTCCAGGAGGGTGAGTTGATCGACGACATTGGCATGTGAATCACCAACCTTGTCGCCAACCTCTAGATGCTTGGGGAGATGGTGGATGACACCTGCGTTGTCAAGAAATTTATCCGCGTGGTGCCTCCTTGTTTCACCCAGGTGGTTGTCTCCATCGAGATGTTCTGTGATCTAAAGAAGATGACGGTGGAGGAGCTGGTGGGGCACCTACGTGCGGCGGAGGACCAACTCGATGACAAGGTCGAGCAGATCGTCGACAAAACAGGGCATCTCCTACTCACCGAAGAGGACTGGCTTGAGAAACACAAGCATCGTTTCCAAGCTGGTTCCAAGGAGGGAGGCGGTGGTGCTGGTGGAAGCCATTCGAAGGGCAAGACGGTGGCGCGCTCAGATGGCGGCGGCTCAGGAGCAATCAAACTGACCTCCAAGGGCACGCCAAGGCGAAAGGGGCACTATCGTAACTGTGGCATATACGGCCACTGGGTGCGGGATTGTAAGCGCCCAAAGAAGGAGAAGAAGGAAGCCAAGCAGCCGGAGATGAACGAGGCTGTGGGTGGCGCGGAGTAGCCAGCGTTGATGCTGGTGACGTGCGATGTCGACATCGTGCATGGGCCAACACAGATCGTCCACCTGGTGGAGAAGGTGATCCCGGTGGATGTTCCCGACGACGTGTGGGTGCTCGACACCGGCGCAAGTAACCACATGACCGGAACAAGGTCGGCGCTGACACAGCTCAACGACGGTGTGCGTGGTACAGTGCGTTTCGGTGACGGGTCCCATGTCAAGATCCATGGCATTGGCTCCGTGGTGATGCAAGATCCCTATCATGAACACAAGGTATTAACTGACGTCTACTACATTCCAAAACTGAGAAGCAATATTATTAGTTTGGGTTAGTTAGAAGAGAAGGGTTTTGAGGTTTCTCTAAAGAATGGAAAATTGTGTGTGTTTGATCAAGAGCATTCTCTTTTAATCTCTGCTCCAAGAAATGCTAATAGGCTATACACTGTTAAGTTTGGATTGGTTCCCCCAGTTTGCTTACTTGCACAGTCTGATGATGAGTCATGGCGATGGCATGCTAGATTTGGGCATCTGAATTTTAGAGCTTTGCATGATCTCGGTGCCAAGAACATGGTAGAAGGTATGCCAACTGTTAAAAGAGTGGAGAAAGTTTGTGATGGGTGTGCTCTTGGGAAACAGCATAGAACACCTTTTCCACAAGTGTCAAGTTATAGAACAAAGAAGGGATTAGAACTTGTGCATGCAGACTTGTGTGGGCATATTACTCCTAAGACTCTAGGGGGTTCCTCATACTTCTTGCTGGTGGTGGATGATCACAACAGATATATGTGGGTGGAAATGCTCAAGACAAAAGATCAGGCTCTAGATTGTTTCAAGAAAATCAAACTAAGGGCTGAAATGGAATCTGGTGGCAAGTTGAAGGCCCTGAGAACATATAGAGGGGGAGAGTTTACTTCTAATCCTTTCTCAATTTTCTATAGTGAAGGTGGGATTAAGCACTACACCACCACCCCTTATTCTCCCCAGCAGAATGGAGTGGTAGAATGTTGAAATCAAACAGTTGTTGAAATGGCTAGGTGTATGCTGAAAACAATGAAGGTTCCATCTATTTTTTGGGGTGAGGCGATCAGATCTTCATTTATGTCTTGAAACAGGTCATCTACCAAGAGCCCTCAAACAGCAAGACCCCATTTGAAGCTCGGCATGGAAGAAAACCAAGAGTTAGCCACCTAAAAACTTTTGGTTGTGTTGCTCATGTGAAATTGGTTGGTCCAGTGCGAGTAAACTATCCTGATGATCCACTAAAATGATGTTCAAAGCACATATGTATCGTGCAATATAGTTGCATTAGCTAGTTGTTTTGGTTTTGTTACAAAACATTTTGTAATTGCGTAGAATCGTGGGTGAGACGGAGACTGCACATCGCCACGCCGTGACCGCGTCTTCAGGGCTGACTCCCGCCATGGCGTGCACGCCGTGCATGTTGCACGGGCACCCGAGGAAACTAGGGCACTGTGCAGCTGCACGTTGTGGCGGGGGATGCAGATCGAGCCCGTGATATAGTCCAAGCAATGCATCAAAGAAGCTGCGCTAGTTGCAGTGGAAAACTCTCTCTCTCTCTCTCGTGTGTGTGTGTGTGTATTCGTCGTTCTCGCTATCGTGTTCACAGTTATCGTGCTCTGAGCATCGCGGAGCGCCGGTGGGTTCCTAGCATCGGCAGTGATCGCCGGCCCTAACAATCTGGTATCAAAGCTGGTTAATGTTCTATAGCAGTTCCATTAGCCCACCGAGATCACCTGCATTGAAGAAGTTCAAGCCAAATCCAAGGAGGCAGCCAGAGAAGAAGATGGGCGACGACACGTCATCGAGTGCGCTCCCCGACGGCATGAGGGAGAGCCCGTTGATGTGGCTGATGCTAACGCGCACCAACTACTCCGAGTGGGCAATGTTGATGCAGGTGAATTACGAAGTGATGGAGATATGGGAGACCATTGATCCATGCACCAACGTCAAGAGATCTCAAGATCGACAGGCGATGGGGGTGCTCCTGCGTTCTATCCCGAAGGAGATGTGGGCGACTGAAAGGTCCTTGTTGGTTTTGGTAATTGAGTGACAACCTAGGTGGACTAATTGTGTTTATGTGAGATACACAGGTGATTAGTCCACAGGTACATGTGTATGAGCAACATATGCCATGGAGGTGAAAATGGCTTGGAGATGTTGCAAAGCTCACACATGTGATGATGAAGGAGCTTATTGCACATGAGACATGACATTGAGTCATGTGATCAAGGTGGAGAAGATCAAGACAAGACTTGGCTTGATGGACCGGTTGCAAGCGTGAAGGGCAAGTCGAAGGCTTTGGAGTGATGGACCGCGTGGCGGTGAAGCTTGAGCAAGACTTGGCGCCGATGGACGATGGCAACGATGAAGAGCAAGTAAAGTCAAGATCGATGAACCAATATGATCACGTGATGATATGAAGTGGATCATATCATTGTTGATCGTGTTGGTGCATGTGTTGCATCGACATTGGAGGAGATGGAATGGAATGCGCAAGGCAAAGGTATAACCTAGGGCATTTCATTTCACCGGTCATAGGTGTGTAGAGAAGTTTATGACCGGGTTTAGGATAGATGGCCGTACTATCAAGAGGGGCAAACTTGTTTGCATATCGGTCATCTAGTGCCACTCGAGTGATCTAACTTTGCATTGTCGCTAGGATCGAGTGGCGTGGCAAGTTGAGTGGCTAACATCCTTTGGGAAATGATTGTGAAAATGATAACACACATACACATGATGGTGTACACTTGGTGGTGTTGGCATATTTACAAAGGAGGTGGTGTTTGCAGGGGTGAGATGGGTTTGGGTCCCTCTCTCCCTCCCGCCGAGCTTGCTCGGCGGGATTCGGCGCTTTCGGGAAAATGGAATGCCTATTTTCTACTGCACCGGATGCAAATTCTTGGTGGTTAGCTCATTGGAGCAAGGGTGAAGAAGTTAGAAGTGAAAACGAGTTGGTCGCAAAGATGCTTTGGCGCTACCAACCGACCGGACATATTTGATTCGAATGCACCGGACGCTGGCAGGCTGCGTCCGGTAGCGCTGACGTGGAGTGTAGCAGTAGCTGGAGAGTGACCGGACGCTGGTGCTGCGTCCGATCGCGTTCGACCGGACGCGTCCGGTCATGCTTGGGAGCTTACTGGAAACGACCGGACGCTGAGGGTCCAGCGTCCGGTCAGTTGAAGCTGCTGCGTCCGGTCAGGTCAAGTGACCGTTGGAATCAGGACACGTGGTCGTCTGCAGGCGACCGGACGCTGAGGTCCAGCGTCCGATCAACACGACCGGAGCGTCCGGTCGGCCCGACCGTTGCCCAGTGAAGGGGTAACGGCTAGTTTAGCCCTTGGGGCTATAAATAGAAGTGGCCCTCGGCCATGGCTGGTGCTGAGCACCTAGGGGGACTTTGTGTCCATGCTTGAGAGTGCTTAGGAGCCCTCCATCTCACACATACTTGATAGTGATCATCTGATTGTGTGAGTGAGCGATTCTAGTGCGATTGCATCGTGAGGTTGCATCGAGTGGCACTAGGTGATCGAGTTGCAAGCCGGTGGTGCTTGTTACTCTTGGAGGTTGCCACCTCCTAGACGGCTTGGTGGTGGTCTCCGTCGAAGCCCGCAAGAAGTTTGTGCGGTGCTCCGGAGAAGAGCTTTGTGAGGGGCATTGTGCTCGCCCCGCGGGAGCCGCGAAGAGCAACTCTAGTAAAGCGAGACGCGAAGGGCGACAAGTGGTCCGGCCGGGTCAAGTGCTAGAGCTTGTGGTAAGCACTCCACGTGGGAGAGTGTGACTTGCGAGTCACCACTAGCAAGAGGACCGGCGGCAACCTTGAAGCTTGTCTCAACGGGGACTAGCGTGTTGGCAAACACGTGAACCTCGGGAGAAAAATCATCGTGTCAACTTTGTTCTTCCCGTTGGTTTGCAACCCCCTTACACAAGCTTGTAATTACTTTCACATACATTGTGCTTGTGTAGTTGCTCTTGTAATTAGTTAGCTTGTGTAGCTCACTAGTTACCTTCTAGCTTGTGTAGCATAGAAGTAGCTCCCTTGAGTGGCTAATTTGGTTTTAGTAACCTTGTTAGTCACATTGCTTAGTTTGTGTAGCTAAGTATTTACGCTCTCTAATTAGGCATTGGTTGCCTTGTTATTGAGCTTTGCTAGTGAGCTTAGTTGGCTTTGTGCTTTTGCTTACTAGCATGTGTAGGAGCTCCCTTGTTGCTTAAAGTACTAGTGGCATAGGTTTGTGTGACCTTGCTCCTAGAATTGGTTAGGAGAGCTCTAGCTAGCCCGGCACCTTAGTTGCATAATTAGTATCTTTGCAAGGTGCTAGTGAACATATATAGAGGGGTGTAGTCTTGGCTAGACCGATTGTTTTTATTCCGCACTTATATCGGTTAGCCGACGCGATTAATTTTAGAAAAGACTATTCACCCCCCCTCTAGTCCGCCATCTCGACCCTTCAGCGACGCCGGGGGGCACAAGACCGTCAAGGATGCGTGGGAGGTGGTGCAGACGATGCGTCTTGGTGTCGATCGCGTGAAGGACGTCAACGCCCAGAAGCTGTTGAAGGAATTCGAGAATATCGGGTTCAAGGAGGGCGAGTCGATCGACGACTTCAGCATGCGAATCACCAACGTCGTCGCCAACCTCTAGACGCTCGGGGAGACGGTGGATGACACCTGTGTGGTCAAGAAATTTCTCTGCGTGGTGCCTCCTCGTTTCACCCAGGTGGTGGTCTCCATCGAGATGTTCTGCGATCTGAAGAAGATGACACAAAGCATATTCAGCAACAAGTTCTATGCCACATGAATTACAGAATTATGAACCTATTCTGTCACAGCATGAACAGTTCAAACTACAAGCCTACGTGCTTTTAATTGAAAGGATCTAAATCAATCCCTAAGGGATCACTAATTTAGAAAAAAAAAAACACCTCACAAAAATCAATTCAAGAAGTTTAAACTATAGATACACTACTACAACCACTATTTGTAGAGACGGCTGTAGAGGGTTTGTAGAGACAACTGGCCTTTACCTATACATCTCTAGAAATCAATGATTTTTATATTTGTAGAGACGGTTCTAGAGGGTTTGTAACCTATAGGTCTCTAGAAATCAATGATTTTTACATGCAGCTATTCAGCCGCCTCCGCCCCAAGAAATCGATATTTAGAGGCAGCTGGGAACTGAGCCGCCCCTACAGATCAATTTCTAGGGGTGGCTAGAAACCCAGCCGCCCCTAAAGATGGTTTTCCAGAATTTATAATCTAGCTCTAAAAAATAGCATTTTTTAATCCCGGCTAAGCACCCCTAGGCTACCCGCACGTCCCAAGTCACAAGTCAAGCATTTTTCGCGCGAAATACGCACGCGTGTGGCCGCAGGGGACCGAACCCACGACCTCTGGCCTCACGCAAGCCAACCCACGACTTGTGGCCTCGCGCGAGCCTTCTCTAACCACTCCACCCCAAAGTCACTGATGACTAAGTAGATGATACTTTCGTTTTGTATTAATTTTGCTAGATATTGTAATAAATATTTGAGACTCTAAACGAATTTAAATGAAAAAAGTTTGAACTACAAAATTGTATATTGCTTTGGTTATTTCTCCATCCGAGGTCGTTTGAAAATTTCAAAAAAAATTGAATTTTAAAGTATGAAATTCAAATTAAACTTGCGGGCACCGAATGATTTTAAATGAAAAAGTCATCAATTATCGAGAGCTACAACTTTGATATAAAATTTTATCTTTATCCACCTTCGTTTGAAAAGGTTATGAATTTTATTGTGATGCACCTATTTTTAGAGGCGGGCTAAATTACCAACCGCCTTTAAAAATCGATTTTTAGAGATGCCTGGTATTTCCTGCCGCCTCTAAAATACCTCTGTTTTTAGAGACAGCAGGGGTCTAGAAATATGATTTTTAGAGGCGGGTGGGCTTTCTAGTCGCCTCTAAAAATAAAGGGCATTTCTAGAGCCGTCTCTCAAAATCAATTTTTA